AAAAAAAAAAAAAAAAAAAAAAAAACAAAAAAAAAAAATGGAAATGAAAAAATACGAAAACTAAAAAAAAAGTGAATTTTCTATGTGTAATTTACAGTAAATTTTGCTGACTTTAAATCCGGTCTGCACAGTAATTTTTAAATGTTTTTTCTTACATTTTATTTTTTATAGAGAGCTTTTCATATTGTAAAACGGTCAACGAAATAATATTACAGGAAACCACTGCCATCTCAAACAACCCAAATCGAAACTGCTTCAAAGCAGGCACCTTCTCGAAAACTACCGACTACATCATCAAAAACGTCTATTTATGAAGGCGAAAATAACAGTGTAATACTTCCAGCAAAAAAATTCAGGTTAAATTTTTCATTTTGCTTTACAGTTAGTGGCAAAAAAAAATAACTTACTAAAATTAAACATTTTAGTGTCAGTCGCAGCAAACAACTTTCTTGTACACTACAATTTATTGTTAAATTTAGATTACCCCAGTTCTCAATAGTACTACGAGAATCAGATCTACGTAAGAAAAAGCCAACTCATGTATCCGCTGCGAGAAAAGGCATGCAGAAAACCAGGTTACAGTACCGTTTATAGCTGATACACTTAAATGACTGATTACTAAGACTATTGGACAACTTCTGCCTAAGCTTTATAAACTACAAAATTTTTTAGCTATAAAGCCGGAGAAACTATGTATACATCACCAGAAAATTTGGCCGAAACTATTGCTTTACAGCAGCGACTTCTAAGACAATCGCTAGCTAAGCAGACTCCAAAAACGATTGCTCAAACTTCCTCTGCTGCCAACGCTGAAGAGCAGCAGTACGAGTGGAAGGTAAGTAAAAAACGAGAAGTAGTTTATTCATATATCTATTTATAATAAATAGATGTTCTAAGTTTTAGTAGACAACAGTATCAAAAGTTCTTTAGACAGATAACAGAAGCTTTCTTTTTACTGGATTGTCAAACTAAATTTTTAAAAGTTTTATAAAACTCCGATCAGTTTTGCAGTCATTTAGCACCTCTACTACAATAGCTGATAGAAGCGCTCAATAGAATTAGTGATATCCGCGGTTTATTGTACAAATAATAAAGACAATGCATTTCATTACGCAATGAAAAATTTTAAACATCGGAATGTCTAAAATCGTTTTTCACCACTGACGCTTTTACAGCTACTGCACTGTGTTAATAGTTGAAATTACAGGACTAAGAGCAACAATTCTAACTAACCTACTGTCAGGTTTTAAACAACAACTATAGACTAAAAAATTGCTACTGTGGAATGAGATCCATAAATTTTGTGGAAACAGAATTGATAAGAAAAAAAGAAGAATAGTTGATCAAAAAAAAATACATTGAATTAAAGCTACTCAAGAAAAAAAAACTTGACGGTAATTAACAAATTTGTTTTGTAATGCAAAATCTTCTAAAAAAATTATTTTTAACATTATCGACGTTTCAAATGTAATTGTCTTTAGATCAGACTACACTTTTCATTTATGGTCCCTTATAGTTGCTTTTTTTTCTTTTAAAATAGTACAATTAATTTCAGTATTTTACCTATTACAACCGCCTATACTTCTCACAATTTTTACAGCCTTCTAACAAAACATCACCTTTAATTATTCAAAAGAAAAAATTTTTTTCAAGTTTATCACAAAGGTATGACTAAATATCGGAAGAGCGTGAAAAATAAATAGCTGTTGACACTTATTTATCTTAGTTAAACACAAAACTTTTCATCTTAATTTTGACATTTCAAACTTATATCAGCAAGAAAAAAAAACCAACATTTAAAGAAGTAATTACGAAGAAATTTATGAATCAAACTACACTTTGTAACACCAACATTTTTAGCTGAAGCGTCGGTCTGACGGAAGCAAATACATCACTAAAAAGCCAGTACGAAGTAGGTTATTGAAAGAACGGGAAAAGCAACTTAATAAGGTATGACTGTTACAGTAAAATTCCTTTTTTCTTTTTTCATTTTATTTCAAACATTTCAACAAGAATTTTGTAAAAAATGTAAAAGTAAAAAAGCTTCAATGACGTTATTGCCAAAAATTTGACAGGCTGATGAAAAAACAAGCTGAAAAAAAAAGACGCTAAACAGCTGACGATACAGTAATCGTCATTGCTTCTTACAGACAACTGCAAAAATAGACTCATTAATAGTGATCAAATCAAAGTTGGTGCCTCTAGTTAGATCTATAAATCTATCTTAAGAAGTAAACTGGGACGACAATTCATCTCAAAAAAGTCACTGCCTATAAGTAAACGCTTTGCAGAAACGTATCAGAAAAACCTATAAAAAAAACCTTTGCATTATTCTTATTCATTTTGTTATTCATTCCTCAAAACTTTAAATTTTTTTTCATTTTAATGAAATTCGGAACGTTTCTATAAAACCAATATAAGCATATTTTCTGCTTTCTTTCTTTGATCCAATAGTGAAATAGTTGCTATCATCAACCCAGTAATAAGTCGATCTATGCAGAAGGAAAAAAACTTGATTATTCCCACTTTCTTCATCTTTGTGATCTATGATTTGCTTTAATAAGTAAACTTGTCGAATTTTCAAGTACACTCTACCAAAATGGTTGAATGTGGTTCATTCCAACAACTAATTTCACTGTCAATACTTTGGTATATACATTTTACCGATTAAATTGATAGCTTGATACTTTCTCCTTTTACACCTTGATTGCATTAAAGCTGTGAAAAGATTTCGTGTTTTCATAACGTTTCTTGCAAATAAATTTTTCAGAGTACAATAAAGCCAAAAATTAGAGGTATTTCCAGCAAAAAAATTGCTTTTTTTTAAACGTGTGAAGTTGCAGTTTCTGTTTTTTTTATGACCTTCAACTGTTTCAATGATAATATAAAAATTTGACTTCTTTGCTTTTTTTTTTTTTTATTTTTTTTTGAACTGGAAAATAACATCTAACTGAATTCTAAAATTTACAGATTCTTTTCACGGTAAATGCGAACTTTTATCTTTTAAACCAAAAAATAAAATTGCTTTTAACAATTGAAAAAGTTTTTTTCATTTTCTAGTTTCTTCTGTTAAATTACACAACAAAAAAAAGCTTTATTACTTGCTTCATCAGACAGCATTGTTCTGAACACTTTAATCTATTCAATTCCAAAAAAACCCCAGTAACTTTCAATCAGTGCACAATTTTTGACCGTAACTTTCGCTCACAAAAAAAAAAAATCTTTTTTTTCGTTTCTGAAAAATCAGAAAGTACAGTAATAACGACTACAAAAACAACATTATATTTTTTGCTTCGATTTCAAAGAAAAAAACGAAGCGAATAGAAAAGCGTTTTTTTTTCATTGCATTCATTTTTTCTTTCTTTTGACAGCAATAACAATTTTCCAGGAAAGAAGCGGTATCACAACAGACGATGACGCAATGAGTGAATTGAAAACAGGGCGATTCTGGAGTCGTGAAGAAAGGAAGAAACATTTGGAAAAAGCCAAGGAGAGAAAACTGAGGCAACACCAGCTGATTGCCGAAAAACAGCAGTTACCATCGGATCAAGTACCGTTTTTCAACATTCAATAGTTTGTGTTTCGTAAAAAAATTGCAAAAAAGCAAAGCAAAATAAAAAAAGAAAGTTGAAAAAAAAGAAAAGATGAAAATGAAAATGATATAAAGAATTTCTTTGGAATTTGCAAACCGTTAAAAAAAAAGAAAAGAGAAAAACAATGTATAAAAAGCCATAAAAAACTACTGAGCAAGTAAAATAAGCGATATTTTTGGGAAACTTTTTTCTTTTCTTTGCAAAAGTAAACTGCTTGATCACTACTGTTTTATGGTGTTGCAGATTATTGTACAATTGTCGCATAAAAAAATGATGCGTAAGGAAGGAAGGCAGGTGTTCGACAAATATGCAACACTACAAGAATTTTTGGCTCACGGTATCCGTGGACCAACGAATCGTCTCATTGAAGGTGTACTTTCAGTGACCACTGTCTGATCCTTCCTATTTGTTTATCACTGAATGTGTAAATTTTACTGTGATATACATACCGAGCAAAGAAAATTTTTTTTTCGTTTTACTTTTTTTTCGTTTTTTTTTCTTTTGTTTTTACCTTGGAATCATTTTTTATGGTAAAGACATGAGAACACTCTGTGTATTAAAAATAAAACTTTTTTAAGTGTTTGCTTTTTGAGTCGCCAATTTGTTTCAGCTAAAATTATTGCAACCACAGTAATAATACAGGAATATGTAAAAAATTTATTCGAATACGTAAAAAAATCTTCAACAGAAAATGTTCCGCAGTCTGAAATAATTGATCTGTTCATTTTTTGACCAAATTTAAAACTCAAAGTGAACCGTAATGACTGAAAGCCGAAAAAATGTGCTCTAAGAATACTTTTCCAGAACTTTTAAATACATATCATAGTCACTGGAAAACCATAATTGCTAAAACTACTGTAGTACTTCTCACACAACTTTTTCGGTTACCACTGAATTCTGTGACAAAAAGCATAAATCATTGTCGCTTTCTTTGATTTCTCCCCTTTCAAGTATCTTTCCTTCTAAAACTTCCGGTCATTCAGAAAATACATTTGTGAACAAATGATACTCTGAAAGCGCTGTGAAGCAAAAGCTACAGCTTCTAGTAGTCTTCGTCAAGAACACGAATAAAAACCCAAATAGAACTGTAACTTGACAAATTCGTATTATATTGATGCTCAAGAAATTTCAGAATTGCTCTTTTTTCAAAGACCAAACTAAACTAACAAGTTTCAACTGCGATTTACGTACAATTAATGCCGTCATCTATTTTGCGTACTTGATTTGTATTTGTTGTACATATGAAAATATTAATATGTATATGTCTCTTTGTATGTAAACGGACGTATGTATGTATGGATCACAAAAGAAACAACAAATGTACAGGCCATTGCCGTTTTAACAGGATTTTTGGTTTCTCTCAACCGGAGAACGATATACATACACATTGGCAACAACATCAATAGAAATCTGCGATAAACACTTCAAAAACATTTGCTCTTTTAAGTTTCAGCAACAAAAAATGATGATGAAGATGACGGCCAAGATGGCTAGAAAAAAATTAAAAAAAAAAAAGAAAAAAATGTGAAAGAGAAAACGAAAAAAACTTCACAATACAAGCAACCTCTGCAAAGAAATAAAGACTTGAAAAAAA